TCAGCAGTGCACTGGTTTGCACGGGGAGTAAAATGCAAAATAAAACAAAACTGCCCTTGATCTCCAAGAAAAATGACAGTTGAAGCAAGAAGCGTAGGCTAGCTTCAAAGAGCAGAGCTGAGATAAGAAATGTTTTGCCGTTTGCATTTATACATTTTATCTGTGCAACTAGGGGGAAAAAAACAGTAGAAAAAAGGTGTAGTAAATCTAGATAATCTTTGATATCCTCCTTTTGGCAACAGGTAAGAGACAGGCAGAGTCAGTTGTACCTAATGGAGGTTTCTGCTATGGAAATCACTCTCTTGTCACCTACATGTTTGTCTCTGCTCTGGCTTCTGTGGGAAGGGACACTGTTTGTAAGCTGATGTCCTGGTGCTTCTGTGAGGCAGATGTGTTTAAGCAGGGCCTGAGGATGAGATGGGGAGTGTGGAGCTCTGAAAGTTCCTGTCTCTTGGCTCCATCCTGCTCTGCCCCTTCCATGGGAATTTTTTTTTTTTTTTGTTCTTATTTGTAAGGTGGCTGAATCACTGCAGAATCAATGCAGAATGCACTGCATTCCAGTGCAAGTGTGCCAGCACTCTGTCAGCTGTCCACTCTCAATGAAGGCATCACTTCCCAGTAAAGGATATCCAAGAGAGGGAAAATAATGATGGTTATAATGCAAGCAGGAAAGCTCCCTTTGTACTCTATGGCAGCATGTTGTTTATGACAGAAATAAATGTTGAACTGTGTCAGGAGGGTATTTGCATTCAAAGCACAAGGAGAGCACACGTGTTTAACCTTTTTGCTGTTTATTAATTTCCTAAACTATGCTAACTTTGTGCGATAAATTTGCTTCCAAGAATGCTTTTCTTAAAAAGGGCTACTGTTAAACATTAAATGCTCTGAATTTTAAGAATTTCAGTGTACTGCAAATGTTGAAATGAGCTTTGATGTCCTGACTAGTTTCTTGCATGATAACCTTGAGGTGTGGGAGTCTTTTAAATCAAATGGCAACAGGTAATCCTGGGTCAGCATTTGCCTTAAGAGGAGTCCTGATGTTCAGGTCTGGGTGCTTCAACTGAACCCAGGTGATTTGGGCAGAAATGTGTTGTTACATGTATTTTAATAATTTTGTGTTCTTCAGATTTTTAATACTAGAATCTGGTACAGCTAACAGAATGTTTCTCCGCAAAAATAGCATAATTTTTTTTGCAAGTGCTATTCTGTTCAACACAGGTAGATAAGTAACAGAGAAACCTATAGAGGCTTCCTCTCTGGGAGGTGAAAAAAGAGAACGGGACCAGTACTGGTCCCATTTAAGCTCCTGGAGCTTTGCAAATGACTTCAGAGGGAGCAGAACCCAACCCATTATTTTCAGGAGGCTGCAAGTTAATTAATGACCACAGAACTGGTATAGCTCTTAGTTTTCAAACTGGTTAGGTCCCTGGATAATTACTAACTGTGAATATTAGGAGATCCCATGTCAGAAATGAAGGGTAGCAAAACCAACCAGGCCTAGTGGTCTTGGTGGCCCTTTGGGGTTTATAGATGCTGCACCAAGCAGGAATGCTAAAGCCAGGAGAGTGCATTGTAAAAGTAGATGCTGTCATCATCTCTGGGTGTGCCTTGGCTGTGGTTGGCATGCAGTGAGGCATTGTTAGCTAACATCATCCAGCTAACTCATTCCACATCACTAAGGCTGTCATTTTTTTTGCACCTTCATGTACCACTTCTGGTGCTGGCCGTGGATGGGGCAGGACACCTAAGGAAAGAAGGACTGATCTGATCCACCTGTTTATTTTCATCTCTCAGTTACGTCTTTTAAAAGATCATTGCTGCCATATCTGAGGTAGACAATCACCAGGGGCAGGATGTCCTAAAAATTACCCTTGGAAAGAGGTGCGGAATCAGACCCTAAAAGGCCAAAATCCCACGTTCCAGTGGCATAAGCGATTCCTTGATAGGACACAGCATGTAGAGGAAGGAGGTGGTAGGTGAGGGGCTGAGTGCTCACTGTCACTGGAAGCTGAGTGACATACACTGACTCAGTCTCTCCAAAGCAGGAAAAAATCCCAACACCTTTTGTCAGAACTAATTTTGAGAGAAGGCATTCACAAGCATTAATGACCATTAACAAGCTCTGCTTAAAATCCAACATGCCACAGACCACTGAAGAGTGGGAAGCTGAACGTTATCACTGCCTCTTCATCTTACTCTCTGACTTTTCCTGTTTTAAGCCTTTCTTAGAAGTTTCATTTAGCAATGCCATTAGTCAAACTACTATTGCTCTTTTTTTTTGTTTCTTTGCCAAGTCCATATAGTTTGCCATGTGTTTGGTTAAAGTAAAAATCAGATCTACCAAAGTTTGTAAAATGCCAGCAGCCCCATGATGAGCAAAGTCATACTCTTACAAAGCACTGTTGCAAAAGATGGACGGCAAAACATTTTTAGCAAGGAAACATATTTCAGTTTCAACTGCCAGGGGTTATTTTACCTAACAATAAGTAAAGCTATTAATTTTAAGACTTTGGAAGTGACGATGACAGTGCCTGTCTTTTCAAGCATGACCGTTATCAGCTTTAGACTTTTCTTAAATTTCCTGGCATTATTTCTTCATTTGTGTTGCACGCTGAACATTTTATAATGGCATTGGAAAACAGTTTAAATGTGATAATTTTTTTAATGAAAATGTAGACTATTGAATATTGCGCGTAAAATATTTTTTTTTTCTGTCTAAAATGTCAATATTTTTAACCTGAAATAAACCTTGTAACAAATTCATGTATTCTGGGCAGTGGAAATTATTTCCGTTAACTCTCTTTTCTGCATATCATCAATTTGCTTTTTACTCATGTTTCTCCTACTGTCGCTGTAAGCTTACTTGTTGTTTTTTCTTTCCTTTTCTTCATGCTGTCGTTTAGAGCCCTACAGAGAGACAAGTATGGGAGTAAAGCTAAACATTGCATATCAAATGTAATTTTTTTTAGTTCACTTTTATTGCATCACATATAGATGATGTAGCTAATAAAGGAAATTAATCTCACAGTTTTGAAATCGAAAGACTATTAATAGACATATGTATATATATGTGTATGCGTGTGTATGTATGTATGTGTATATATATGTATGTGTACATATATATATAGATGAAATTAGATGATGCTTTCTTTGTTTATTTCTCATTTTTGTGGCAGCATTTACCCAGCATAGTTTCTCATTTAGTTGTGTATGCTTTTTTTTTTTTTTTTTTCCCAAATTCATGTTTTTATTTGCGAGGTCACGGCATTTTTATACAGCTCGTTTCATTGCAGCCCCCACTCTGTTCTCACCTGCAATGCCTCCCATTTTATTTCTGCACCAAACCCCAGATCTATGCATTGGCAGCAGGAGTGCAGTGCTCAGTGCCTCAATGCATACGTTACTCAACACAACCATCAAACAGACACTGTTTTACCTGTCACCCATTACATACGGCCCTCCCCCAAAAATGCTCACTTTTCATTTCTCCCCAAGCATCGTGACTCGGTTGGAGAGCTTTCACCGTGAAAATCAACGGCTTTGCTCTATGTCTGTGATGGCTAGTTGATTTTTTGGCATAGCTCCCTCATTTGCTGGGAAACCCAGGATACAGCAGCACCCTCTAAGCTTCAGAAACCTAAAAAGTGACCGACGCATTTGGGGCATTTCACTCAAAAGCAAGAAGAAGCCTTCAGTAGCGCTTTCCAGCCCTTGACATACAGCAACTACTCCATCGCAGATATAGACTGAATCCTGTATTTTCAGAAGGTACACATGCCATGTACTAAGCATGGTATGAGCAACTGTTCATCTGAAATTGTCAGTTTAATGGCTTCTCTGATCCACTGTGCCTTGCTGGGAGTTGCTTGCCAGTTTTTGGCAATGCCTGAAGCCCTTAGCTGAGAGGTCAATAAGTTATTTCATGCATCCCCATGTCTGCTCTCCTTCCAAGGAGACCAGTGATCCCAAAAAAAGAAAGCATGGTGGCTTAACTGCTGGGCCTGATTTTCTTCTCCCTTGCCCACTCATGCTGGCATTGCTCTCAAAGCACTTCCCTGCCATCTCCCGTAGTGCTTTGGGAAAGAGCTGAGCTCCAGCCTTGCCTTGTCAGCATTGAGTCACCTGTGGAGATGCAATAGGCAGTGGGAGCGGGGACACTCTGACACCCTGCTACTCCTCTCAGCTTCCCATGAGCCCACCATACCGTGGCAGGGATGGTACTTGCTGTACCCTCTGCTGAACCCACTGCTTTAAATTTGCAGGTGGAATAGGAGCTATTTTTAAAGGCTTCACAAGCCCCTGGAACAGCTGCCTCCAACATCAATTGTATTAGAAAATCCCCACCTGGCCAGTGTGGAGTAAATAATTTTGTTTGTGCCCTTAAGTCAGAGGAGGTAGGGCATTTAGCCTTGTTCCAGAAAATCCTGGGCCAGGAAGCACTTTGTGCCTCCCCCGTGCTACTCCTTGAATCCTGCCATTCAGTCCTTATGTCTTTACTTTTCCTGACAGCCTGCCCAGTGAAAGGGGAGAGCAAACTTTTTTTCTTTTAGGAAGGATACACTCCCAAACAAAGTTTTGGTAGTGATTTATCCTGGGCTGCAAATACTTTTCCCTCAGCTGAGAGGAATTTCCCCCTTCTTCCAAAGCTCCTAGAGCCAGGGCAGTTGGGACCAGCCCAGGGTCATGAATTTTTCAGCTCCCCCAAGAATACATAGAGCACAAGAGCTGTAGGAGAATGCTGGCCAGGAGAGGTTATCCTTCCGGCTGGATGTTGCCTCATCAAGTCACACACTTGACAGTGCTTTCCATTTTTTTTTGGTGGGAAGCCCTTGACCACCAGGTGGTTTAGATGGAGCTGCGCCCTCCCATTTTGGCCGCGACGCTCTCCTTGCTGCCCAACCCCAGCAGCCGTGGCAGCCTAGGAAGGGGGTTTGAGTGTGCACATCCTGCATGAGTGTCCTGTTTGTACAAGTCACCCTCTCTTGTGTAATGTTTTTCAGAGGGGCTTCTGAACAATGCCAGGGATACAAGTGTCACGGATACTCTACCACTGAATGGTAATCACGGCAACAGCTACAGCATCGCCAGCGGCGAGTACCTCAGCAACTGCGTGCAAATCCTTGACCGCGGGTACAACCACACGGAGAACGCCCTCGAGAAAAAGATCCTGAAGGAACTCACCTCCAACTACATCCCTTCCTACCTGAACAACCACGAGCGCTCCAGCGAGCAGAGCCGCAACTTGATGAACAAACTCGTCAACAGCGTGGGCGGCGGGAGCGAAGACGATGCCATCGTGCTGGATGACGCCACCTCCTTCACCCACGAGGAGAGCCTGGGCCTGGAGCTCATCCACGAGGAGTCGGACGCCCCACTGCTGCCTCCCCGGGTGTACTCGGCGGACAACCACCAGCCCCACCTCTACAGTCGGCGTCGCATCCCGCAAGACAACAGCGAGAGCTTTTTCCCTTTGCTGACCAACGAGCACACGGACGACCTGCAGTCGCCCAACAGGGATTCTCTCTACACCAGTATGCCCGCGCTGGCTGGCATGCCCATGACGGAAAGCGTCACCGCCAGCACCCAGACCGACCCTCCACCAGCGAAAAGCGGCGGTGGCGATGCCGACGATGTTTACTACAAAAGCATGCCCAATCTTGGCTCCAGGAACCACGTCCATCAGCTACACACTTACTACCAGCTAGGTCGAGGCAGCAGCGACGGTTTTATAGTCCCACCAAACAAAGAGGGAACCTCCCCGGACGGCAATGCAAAAGGACCCGCTCACTTGGTCACTAGTCTATAGAAGATTCAGCAAAAATTAAGCAAAGAGACAACTTAAAGCCTCTCCGTAACGTTCGGTTTACTGTTCTGAGTTAATCCAAACAGTGGTAATATTGTGTGTACTCCTAAATCTTCATGCTGTTCAAAAGGAAATTCTCAGACTTTTTTTACTGGAATTTTTAGGCCGGCCCGGAGAGGACAGTAACTGCTGTGCCCCCCCTTATCTTCCCATCCTTCTTCCCTCCAGACAGACTTCATTATGTTAATGAAAGAGATAGATAACGGCACACTTCGTGGCCTTCTCAAGTTATGCCGTGTTTGTTTAAACAATCCTTGATGCTGTGTTGCTCTTAATACCGAGGACCTGATTTAAGAGGGAAAAAAAAATAATAAAAGGCCAAAAATGTGCATTTGAAACTAGTAGCGATGACACATCTAGGTGGGAGCGCTGTGTAACACAAGCTAGCAAAACTCTTTCTTACCAATCCAGATCACATCATGGGTTATGGTCACTCACAGCTTGGTTTCATTGCAGCGCCCTTTGCTGTGGGAGCAAACAAAACGTAAACAAATTTAATGAGACGGAAGGGAATCCTAGAATCCTGTGCTAAAGGCATATTTTACATTTTGCTGTATTAACGGATGATAAAAACTAATGGCAGAAAAAGAGAAGCGAACAATTTCTATGTAATGTACAGATACTAGCATTGCACATATAGTCTGCTTTCTGTTCCTCCAGAACTTGCGTCCCTGTTAATGTAGTGGAAAAAAAAAATAAGAACTTTTTTCTGTTGTGCTGGTCTTGTAAGTTTGTCTACCAGTAGGAGCAAGGTTTTTCATAACTCTTCCTTTTTTTTTTTTTTTAAATTTTGTTTTGCCTCTTCCACTGCTCCTTCCCTCTGTCCCCTTCCCACCCCAGTAAAAAAACTCACTGGGCAAAAAAAAAATTCCCAAACATCACTTTCTAAGGACCATTTTTAGTAACACCATCACCATTTCTTTTCAGCCAAGGCAGTCTTTTAATTTCCTCGCTGTATAACCTTTTTCAGCCGGCATGTTGCCAGCAGACCTTTTGGCAGACTAGAGCAGGGCAAACTTCCTCATTGTCAGTGCACAACCGATCGTGACGATAATCCTGTGAAGCATCTCTGGCGAGCAGCCCCTCATCCAGGCCCTCAGGTCACATCCAGGGGCTGAGAGGGGGCTTTGTAATCCTAGTGGGAGTTCTACAGGAGACGGCCATTTCCCTGGAGGAGCAAAGGGCCTTCTCGGCTCAGTCTGGTCCCCCGTTTAGGCACTTGTACTGCAGTGGTTAAGAAGAGAATAGATTGACGCGTAGTGAGCTAAAAAGTACTTTGCAGTGATTTTTAATTAAAAAAAAAACAAAAAAAACAAAAAAAGTCCTCTGTTCATTACTTTTCCTAACAGGAAATTTATTTATTTGACCGGATTTTTAAGTAACATAGGCTTTCTGGAGGTAAATTAGCAGCACGGAGTATGAATTCTTCTTCTTTTTCTTTTTCTTTTCTTTTCTTTTTTTTTTTAATTTATGATCCATTTTGTATGGTCTCAACAGTTGAATGACCTCATTACTAATATTTGTTGTAAAAGTGAAGCTTGTTTGCCAACCAATAAACAACTGATCACGATTTAGAAGATACTGTATGTATGTACTGTACAATTAATCTCTCTTTTTTTGTCGTTGTTGTTCCTCTCTCCATTAATGTCTTCAGTATGAGTCTCCACTCCTTTACGGCATCGGTGAGCAATGCCGAAGAAAGGAGGCCTAAGCTGAGAAATTTAAGCACAAAGGCTATGCAGCTGTGGCTGACTAGAAATATCAGGCTGGTGGTACTTGTTTAGGGGCAAGAGCAACACTGGTTGACATTTGTTGCAGGTGATTCTAGGTCTGTTTTGTGCCTACTGTATAAAGTAGCCAATGACACGCGGATGATTTGAGTATAGTGTTTCACGTGTCTTTATCTTTTAATCATTGTAATTATTTCCTTTTCTTAATTTTCTTCTTTTTTCTTTTTTTTTTCTTTTTTTTTTTAATTTGGGTTTTCTGAGATTAAAAACTGCTGGTAGCATGTCAAAGAGTAAAACAAGTCCCCGTTAGGCCTTCTCGGTCATTGTTTGCTGTCTCTTTATTTTCTTGCTCCGGGCATACGCCAAGCGCCCTCGCCATCCTTGGCCACATCCTTCCCGCCCCACCTCTGCCAGTGGCCCACTGGCACTTTGCTGCTCTCCTCCAGCCTCCCCCTTCACATCCCTTGAGTGCAATCAGGAATACAGAAAGCCACAAAATAGACTGGAAAGCTTGACAGGGAAAATAACCACCTGAATATGATCGGTAATGAATTTTCTGTTATTTTTTGTAAAAATGGCCTGGGCTTAAGGGCTTGGTGTTGCCTCCATCTAAACTGTGCCTATCCAAGTCCTGTCATGCTGGGCAAAAGCCAGAAGACTTGGAGCAGGTGGGTGAGGTGCATGTTAAACAAGGTATTCTCAGTGCTGGAGGAAAAACGCAGCAGCAGCAGATCGGTGGAGCAGTTCCACTCCATCCTGGGGTTGTCCTCACGTTGGGGCAGTGCTGCTTGGTGCTTCTCACCAGAGTCTTGTTGGGCAAGAGAACCAGGGGTGGTGGGATTTGGTGGTATCCATGGCCTACAGAAGAGTCTGGTTCGAGTCACTTGAGTCCTTCCTGCAGCCACTCTGGCCAAAACATCTTGGGGAAGAAGCTCCATGCAGGACCAAGCACTGATCACAGCAGTGTCTCTTGCTGGGTCTAGGTTTCGGCAAGGGAGCATTTCCTACTGGAATATTGGGGAATCGCCTGATTTCACAGCAGAGCAGCCGCTGGCCAGCCAGGCTGTGCTCTTTCTCTTGATGCTGCCTCCCTGTTTCATTCTATTTTCCATGCCAGCAGCAAAGGAAGTGGATAGTGCATGGTGGATCCACTCTTGCAGGTACAGCAGGTGATTCACACTCGTGTGGTCACAGCAATCCATGTAGCAGCCCAAGAGAGGCTGCTGAGGCTTTAAATAAATGAGGTACATCTTATTTTGGGGACAGTAAAAACTCTTCTACTGTATTAGACTCAAAAAATAGTTTTTCAGGGGTATGGTGGAATTGAGTTCATGCAGAGGGTGAGATATGCCCTAGCAAATGTCATCATGGTAAATTGGGAGGCAGGTGATGAACATGGTGTTTACCAGTTTTTCTGAAACTCTGCAAGAACAAAACCAGTGGTGGATTTGCTATGGGATGGATGGTTTTGTCCTGCTGAAAAATCTTCAACTTATTTTACTTTGAATGGTCATTCTTCCCCAGCCCTTTTACATATTTCAGGTTTATCATTGTGGATGCTGTTTTTCCCCCTCTCCTCCATCCCTTCTCTTTGCCAGCCTACCCATGCCTATTAGCACTTCTATTGAAAAAAATGCTGTTTATTTTCAAGCTGATTATTTCTGTCCCTGGGCTGTTTTGACTTCACAAGATTCACTGTTGGTGATTCTTATGGCTTAGGAAACAGCTGAATCACAAAATAGAGGGAAAATATATATTACTAATTTTATTAAGCATGTTATTAAGCCAAAAATGTTTTAAGACTGTAATATAGTGGGGGTGTTTTATGAAGGGGCGCAGGACACTGATTATTTTTGGCATTTTCTTCCCTTTGAGAACAGATTTTGTTCTGTCAGATAGTTGATTATGGGCATGGTGAAAGTTGGTGCTTGTTGATAAGTAGCTCAGTGTGACTGGCGACAGTGTCCTCTGTGCAGACTGCAGCATGTGAAAATCAACTCGCCGAAAGTCCTCGGTGCCTACAATGCTCCTGGGGTATGAGGGAGAGCTGCAAGACTTCCAAGGCATTTCTTAATGCTGAGCCAAGACAAGAATATGAGAAAAAGCTTTATGAAAATGCAGTAGTGATCATGGTGTTAAATCCATACTCATGCTTGGGGCACATAACTGTGTAGGCTGGGTTGAAGGGTATAATCAGCCCTGTACTCGAGGGATCTTTTCTAGAGTTCCATTTAACAAAACAAAACAAAGAAAACCAAACCAGATTTGCCTTACAGGGAGAAGATTAAAGCTTCATCATTCAGCTGCAACAAGCATCCCAGTTTCAGCTGAAAACAGACAAAATAGAGGCAAACAGGTAGTGCTTGATCTCATGAGACCATCAGCTGATACACAGACCATTTTCTGAAACACAGGGCCACCTTTGGGAAGCATGAGCTGCCAGGCATGTTTGGAGTGAGAATTGTTAATGTTGATCCACTGATTGAGTTGTCCCTTCAGAAAGCCTTTCTTGCAGGTGGGAAGAGGGGGAATGGAGAAGTGCAAGGCTCCATGCTTTGCATTTTCCTGAAAATCATCTTAGGATGCTTTACAAGTCATGAATCCCTTTTTTCACTCACTCCTAATTTGTGCAGGACTGGGTTATTTTTCCTGTGTCGTCCCATTGCAGACCACCCCATAAAGAGCTGACACATCAGCTTTCTGCTTAAGGACACTTTGACTATAGCAGGCAATTCCCACCCATTTTCTGCAAGAGCCAGAAGAGAGTCTAAGATCTCCCTGAAACATGAAGGAGAAATACAAGGCAAAAGTCGTGCCATGTAGGCTGGAGGGCTGCTGGGAATGGCAGGTGTTCATTTTCGGGTACACATGCCTTTAGAGGCACGGTGTAGGCAATATTGCTTGCCATGGTCCTGTTCCTTTCTGCCTGTTGATTCCTTTTAATTCCTTGACATCTGTGGTTGTTTACCAATCTTTTTCCTTCCTCCCTTGCCCCAGGTAGTAAGCAGTGAGATACCTCAGAGGACCAGGGGAAACTGGTGATGGGGGGGAGGAATCCTGGGGAATCCTTCTGTGTGTCTGTGTGTGTCCCTGTTGCCTGCATCCCCATTCCCTGACCAGCTGGCCTCTCTTTCACACCCCCATGTGCCCTTGATCTCACTAGGTTATGAAGAATGTAATACCCTGCAGAATTGCCTCGTCAACAGGGATAGAAGGATAGCTCATCTTATTAAAAACCTGTCTCAGGAAAGCCTAAGAGCACAGGCTTGGTCATCTGTCACACCCTGATCTCCTGCTTACCTTTAGAAAGAAAAGTGCTTTATTTTTAGCTATCTGCTGCATTCAGCTACACTCTATGCAAATTTTATTTAATGAATATTTTAGGGTCTAAATAGTCTGGGCTCATGAACATTATATAAATGTCATGTTGTTGCAGGCTCTCTGGTAACAGTGTGAACATCCTGCAGTGTGAAGCTGGAGCCAGATAAAATCCATGATTAGTGCTCCCATGGAGGGCAGCCCTGGATTGCTCAGTGGCTGTCCTCAGAGGGGGGGTGTTAGCAGTGCAGTCAGGGGGGGCCCTGCAGTCCCCCTGGGAGGCAGCAGCACTCCCCTTTCTGGACTCGGGGACATTTCGTTCAGCACAGGTAGCTGGCTTAGGGCCAGTTTTCCAAAGGCTTTGGCAAGCCCTGGGGATGCATTGATCATACACCAGATCATTTATCGTCCCCACTCACAAGAGGCAGTCTGTTTAAAGCTGAAATATTGAGACTAGCCAGGATTGCTTGGAAATCTTCCTTTTTCACATCAAAATAGCATTTTACAGGTGCTTACTGTTTATTGTATTCGGTACGCCAGACAGATGGTGATAGTCTCCTTCAGGAAAATGCCAAGAACAAAAAAAAACCAAAAAACAACAAAACACCCTAAGTATTTTCTGTCTTTTCATTTCTTTACCCACCACATATTTTCTTTTCTTATATTTCTACTCCTTAAATACACTGTACACATGTAAAAACCCAAGCTAAAACCTGAATAAATAAAAAATATTGGTATACAGAGCAATTATTATGTGTTGGAAACAAATGCTTGGTATTTTAGCAGTGCTGCTTAAAACCCCAAACAGCAACTTTGAAGACACAAACATAGCTGCTGCACAACCTCCTCAGCTGGTGTGATGGCAATATTTGTACAGATGACCAGATATTTCAGACTTATCTGGTCATCTGGTCAAGATGGACTGCATCTTGTGTTGCAGCTTTGGAAAAATTATTTCCAGCAGAGGGGTGCTTGATGGGTAAATCACGGCAGTAATAAAACTGTTTTCAGCCTGTCTTCTCCTACTTCTCTTGGAGGCATCTGAGAGAGAATTAAATTTGGGTCCCTGTGGCAGAAAACCTCACTCCAGACATGAGCCCTGCAGCCTTTGTGTCCTACCAGCAGCAAAGGCTTCGCCTTTCAATGGGCACAAGTCTGTGGTAATATCCACTGAAAAATGGCTTTGGAGGATGAACACTGAAAACCAAGCAGTCGACAAACTGGGTGGAGGATGTCTGGGTATTCCATTTGGGAAGCAGAAGCGCTGCCCCAAGCATCTCTGAGGACTTGGTTGCACAAAAGCTGCAAAGGGGCTGTGGGAAAAATGGACTTTGGGTGGGAGGGAATGAAAATAAAAAGCCCCTAATTTCTGGCAAGGCTTTGTCCTCTGGCTGAAATACTCCAAAAAAGGTTTCTCGGGTCCTTTCTGTAGGCAGCTGGAGAGAAGTGCAAGGTCATGGGGAATTAGAACCGTGTGTGATGGGAGGCATGTTTGAGGCAAGCAAAAGCTTTGCTGCGGCAATCGGGTGCCTG